ATTCAAAAAATCAAAATTTTGAAATCTTTCAATTAAATCAATCTATTAGTAACTCCTCTTCTGATAATCCAGAAACCTCTTCTGATGCAAGTTCACCTGATACTGATTCTGATAATAATAATATAACATTAGGATGTAATGATGTCTGTTGTAAACCAGTTAAACAAATTACAGTTCTTACAAAACAAAATCAAGAAGAATCTGCTTTAATCAAATTAATTAGTAAGTTGGATGATCCTAATTTAAAACAACAATATATTGATAAATTAAAATCTTTATTAATTCATTCAGATAATAAACCTAAGTTTAACAAACCTATTATTAGTTTGTCTAAGACTTTAGAAAATTTTAAAAATAAAAATAAAGAACTTACACTTCAAGATTTACAATCGGAAATCAACCAAATTAAACAAACAATCCGCGATTTGCAAAATAAAGATAAGCAATTAGAAGATGAAATTATTACTTTAAAACTTAATCAAATTTTAGATAATTTCAAACCTAATGAATCTCCACAAGAGTCTGAACATGATTCTGATCATACCAATTCGAATAAACTTTTATTTGATAATCGATCTCAATCTAATAATCTTGAAGACAAACGTTTAAGTCTAATCAATAAAATGGTATTCAAAAATGGTATTCAAAAATTAAAATCGTTGTTGAAGATTTTGAATTAAAATTAATTGCTTTAATAGACACTGGTGCTGATTTAAATTGTATACAAGAAGGATTATTTCCTACTAAATATTATGAGAAATGTCATGAGAAATTAACTTCTGCTAATGGTAGTCAAATGTATATTAAATATAAATTACCTAAAGCTCATATTTGTCAAGATAATTTCTGTTTTAAAACTTCGTTTGTTTTGGTTAAAAATATGGCTGATAAAATTATTTTAGGTACACCATTTATTTACTTATTATATCCATTTACTACATCTAGTGACGGCATAACAACTCATGTTTTAGGACAACCTGTTACATTTAAATTTTTATCTCCACCCGAAATGCTAGAATTAAATCAATTAAAAGATTGTTCTATTTCTCATACTATTCATCGTCTAACTAGACATTTAAATTTTCTTAAAGAAGAAATTAATTACAAGAGAATTGATCAACAATTAACTGATCCAGTTATTATTTCTCAAATTAATGAGTTCAAATTAAAATTAGAATCGACTGTTTGTTCAACTTTACCTACTGCATTTTGGCATAGGAAAAAACATGTAGTTACTTTACCATATATTAAGAATTTTGATGAACGATAAATACCTACTAAATCTCGACCTATTCAAATGAATCATGAATTACTGGAAATGTGTAAAAAAGAAATTAATGAATTATTAAAACATCGAATCATTAGTCCAAGTAAATCCTCATGGTCTTGCCCTGCTTTCTATGTTAATAAAAATGCTGAATTAGAACGAGGTGTCCATCGTTTAGTCATCAATTATAAACCATTAAATGCTGTTTCAGAATGGATTCGATATCCCATTCCTAATAAAAAAGATTTAATTAAAAGACTTAGTCAAGCTGTTATTTTCAGTAAATTTTATTTAAAAAGTAGTTTTTGGCAGATTCAAATCCACCCAAAAGATAGATATAAAACTGCTTTTAATACACTTTTTGGTCAATATGAATGGAATGTCATGCCTTTTGGATTAAAAAATGCTCATAGTGAATTTCAAAATATCATGAATGACATATTCAACCCATTTAGTCATTTTTCAATTGTCTACATTGATGACATATTAATTTTCTCCAAATCAATTAGTGAACATTGGAAACATTTAACTGCATTCTTTTATACTATTAAAAGTCATGGCTTAGTCATTTATGCTCCTAAAATTAAACTGTTTCAAACAAAAGTCAGATTTTTAGGATATGATATTCATCATAATACTATTCTCCCAATTAGTCGTTCCATTGAGTTTACGTCTAAATTTCCTGATGAAATTCTTGATAAAACCCAATTACAAAGGTTTTTAGGATCACTCAATTACATTGCTGAATTTTACAAAGACCTTAGAAAAGTCTGCCAACCTCTATTTGATAGGTTAAAGGATAATCCCCCTCCTTGGTCTTCTGTTCATACTGCCGTTGTTCAACAAGTCAAACAATATGTTAAGTCTCTTCCTTGCCTTGGTATTCCTATTGAGAATTCATTCAAAATTATTCAAACTGATGCTTCTAACATTGGTTATGGTGGCATTCTTCTTCAGAAAGTCACTCCTCAATCATCTGAACAAATTGTTCGTTATCATTCTGGTGTCTGGAATAAAGCACAATTAAATTATAGTACTATTAAAAAAGAAATTTTATCCACTGTTTTATGTATTCAGAAATTTCAAGATGATATTTTAAATCAAAAATTTTTACTTCGTGTTGATTGCAAATCTGCTAAATATGTTTTAGAAAAAGATGTTCAAAATCTTGCCAATAAACAAATTTTTGCCCGTTGGCAATCTATTTTAAGTATTTTTGATTTTGATATTTCTTATATTCCTGGTAGTCAAAATTCCCTTCCTGATTTTCTTACTCGAGAATTTTTACAGGGGGGTAAGGGATGAGTGTTACTCCACATATTCCAAACCTTAAAACCCAAATTACCCATTACCAAACCCTAGTTAGACAAGTATCCTACCCCATTCACTGTCTCAAATCAGCCCGAAAAACTACTAAAAGAGCCCAATACATCAATTACCATCAAATTCAAGCTCGTCACAATTTACTTGCTGATTACCTTAACTGTTTACACTATTACCAAAATTATTTAGATCTTCTTTCTGATTGCTAATCATTGTTTCTTGATTAAACAGATGTCTCGTCCAAGGCCTCCTTCCAAGGCTTTGGCCTCCTCTGCCAATAAACCAAATCAACTCATTGTCCCTCCTCCTTTGGAGTCAGTTACCCCCTCTTATTCACTTGACCTCATTAACCGTTACCAAACCCTTGGTACTATTCAACGCCCTGATTATTCATCTGCATTGGCCTCTGATCCTTTTGTATCTAGCCAATCAGTTTCAGTTACTCCATTCCCAGTTAACCCTATTAAATCATCTCGGTCTGAATATACCAATTCACATGTTACCAACCTGTTCTATAAAGAACCCAGTCACCCAAGAAATCAAACCATCAATGACATTGCTAAATTCCATTTTGGCTCTGGATGCCATTTCACCCTTTCCCATCCAGAGAAAACCCTAGCCTATTACAAGGATATTTTAATCAACCATCATTCCATCTTAATCAAGCCAATTCAGGACCGCACCTATGCCTATAAGGTCCTATACCATTCACTTTATATTCACAACATTGTTTCCATGGCTGAATGGGGTAATCCTAACCAGCTTCGTGATCTACCTGGCCATTCTATTCCATATAATTATCATGATTACGTTGATGCTTGGTTCAAGATTTTCTTGTACCAAAATGAAACTTTTAGTCATTCCTGGTTCATCTCATTTGATCAAAAATTCAAATCTGAGTTACCAACTTGGTTTCTGAGATGGTGGTCTCACTATGGCGCCATTTCAGATATCCTCCCTGATGATCTCAGTCACATAATTCATTATTTTGCCTCTGTTTACCCATTTTCTACTCACCAGAAGCAATTTCCCTTATTACTCATATTCATTGCCAAATACAAAATTCCATGGATATTCAAATGGAATTATGGGATTGATGATAATATTATCATCCGCCAACACACAGTTAAATGGTGGGACAAATTCAATGTTCCCAGAATTCTTGAAATTGTTCCAGCAGAATTCCCACCGGATCAATATGCTCCAACTCCTGCTCTTGCTCAAGCCCAGCAGAACCCAACTGCTACAATCACTCAAGGAAGCCAGCCCAGTCTTCCTCCAGTCAACCTTGGAAGCCCCTCATCTAGTGGCTCCAAGCCCAAATCAACAAAATCAAAGTCCAAAACTGTTGCTGCTCAACCAGCCCAAATCAAAGTCCAAAGTCAAGGCAAAGCCCATTCCACCTCCTGTTCAGCTCAAAGGCAAATCCAAAGGAAAAGCCCAATCATCCAAAGAAGACATGATCCAGTTAGCCCATCAACTGTTGAATCAAGCTAAAACCCAATCCTCCGATTCAGACAGTTCAGACGGTTCAGCCCAGATCGCCCGCTCCTCTGAAGAATCAACTAATCAATGTTCAGGGCCAGAGTTTCAAGATGCCCAAACCCTAATTTCTGAAACCACAAGCATAATTTCTGGTTTCACAATTCAAAACCCTAACATTTTATGATTTCATAATTTCATAACCACACTGATAAAACCCTAATATTCACATTTTCACAAACACACATTCACATTTTCAACTACACATTCACATTTTCACAAACACAATAAATAAATACATAAAATTCAAATAATACAGACAGAGCTAGATGCCATACCACGGAGAGAGAGAGAGCAGGGGTAGAGAGTGAGAGCAGAGGGAGAGCGAGAGCGACAGTCAGAGTCTGAGAGCAGAGCGAGATTGAGAGCGAGAGAGTCTGAGCAGAGGCAGATCGAGAGTGAGAGGCAGAGAGTCTGAGAGTAGAGAGCAAGAGACGAAAAAACGTAAGTATAAAAAACGTGATTATGTTATAGGGGGGCTTGGGTGTTTTATATAAGTTGTAAAAGCATGGTTTCAATCCATGCTTTCATTTATCAACAGTGAAAGCGTGATTTCAAATCACGTTTTCTTAACAAAAAACAATGCATAATGAAAGCATGATTGCAAATCACGTTTTCTTTAGAAAAAAAAATTTAAACAATATGAACAGTGAAAGCGTGGTTTGAAACCACGTTTTTTTTCAGAAAACAAATTTATGTTAAAAGCGTGGTTTGCAACCACGCTTTCTTAATTAAAAGCGTGGTTTTCAATAGCGCTTTCACTATTCATCACATTTTTGGCTCCAAACAGTGAAAGCGCGATTTGTAATAGCGCTTTAGCGTCCAAACTAGGCCTAGTTTGGGAATTCCGTCCAAACTAGGCCTAGTTTGGAAATTAAGATACAAAATAGGCTTAATATGGGAAAAGCCTCTGTTCTACGCACACAGAGCAGATAAACGAGAGAGAGAGAGAGAGAGAGTAGTGACATGGCTGTAGAGTCAAAACGCCTTGGGTGCGTGATCGTGTCCGTGGATGGCAGCGAAGAGAGCATGAACGCCCTCCGATGGGCTCTCGACAATTTGAAGCTCCGTTCTCCTTCTCCTGACTCCTCCGGCGGCCACCTAGTCATATTCCACGTTCAATCTCCGCCCTCCATCACCGCCGGCCTCAATCCCGGTGCCATCCCCTTTGGGGGTCCCAGTTAAGTTAACTCTCTTTCTGCACTCTATTCTATTCTTTTCTCTTCTCTTCTATTTAGTTTCTCTTTCAAATTCTTTCTATTATCATCAAATCATGATCCTCTCTTCTTCCTTGTGTTTTTTGATTGATGATTTTACTGACAAATTACATTTCTTGATTGAATTGAAACCGAAAAAATATAGGTGATTTGGAGGTGCCTGCTTTCACTGCTGCAATTGAGGCTCATCAGAGAAAAATTTCAGATGCGATTATGAAACATGCTTTGCAGATTTGCTCCGATAAGAACGTTAGGGCTTTCTCTTTCTCTCTCTCTCTCTCTCTCTCTATATATATATATATATATATGCATGTGCAATTCAAAAGAAGGTAATAGTATATGAATAATGATAAACCTTCTCCTCTTCATTTTTATATAAATATGTGTCAATATATATTAGAATAGATATATACACACTAGCGGTCCTGTGTGCAATTCAAAAAAATGTAGTAGTAGAGGAATAATGACAGAGAGAAATGCACACATGTATTTGTTGCTCCAGTAGTAAGGATCTTCTTTGCCAAATCCATGATCTTGGTTTTAAGTCAAAATTATATAAACACCAACTGTATATACTAGATATACTAGAACGGTAAATAAACTAATTAGCAATTGAAAAGATCATGTGTGTGATATGAAATTTACAATCAAGGCAGTTGAGAGATTATTTATTTATTTATTTTTAAACTAAAGAAAATTGAATCTATGACGTAACTTGCTCTTACTTTTACGTTACTGCTTTAGTGGGCGTATTCGGAAGTTAAAATATATGTATCTTTTTTTTGATAACTGGGTGTTTGGATCACCTTATGCTCAACTTGACTAATCTTAGGGAATCAATCCCACCGTTTACTTGCGGGAACTCCATTTAAAGTCAGAACAAACACCCCAAGAACTTATTGAGGTTGGTGAGTATTGAATTTGAGACCTGAAGGGAGCACACCCTTAGGCCTCAAGTTGTGTCCGCTAGGCTAACCCCTTGAAATTCATATATCTACACCAAGTAGGTGTAGATAATATAGATTAGTGGTGGATGCAAATGTATAAATTTAAACTTTTGGGCAATTTAACTTATGAGGATTGAATTAAAAAATTGTTTGAAAAGCTTACAATCAATTCGGTGAAGTTTCGTAACACATTTCTTTATTTTTGAAAATGCCCAGAGAACAGTTACGCCATACAAAAGTTCTTCAATTTTTTTTCTTCCGTTCTAATGTTGTGTCTGTTTCATGGATTTGGGTAGGGTTTTGAAAAGAGAAAGGGAAAAAAGCAGGTGAAATGTGAGTGAAATATAACTACATTTAACCTACATTTCACACACTTTTCCCTTTTCAAATCCCTACCTAAATCCATGAACCGAACACAGCCTAAAAGATCTCTGAGCTACTTGGGCTATCGATTTCATAACACACATTGTGTGTGCACAACCACCGGTATATATATATATATGTATGGTTTCTTTGTATACATTTGATGAATGACTTTGATGTGGTCCATTGCTAAGTTATATTGTCAATCTGGCTCCTTTACATTGAGATGTTGCTTTGCCACCTGAAAACACAAACGTGAGCTAACCGGCGGGTGTGTGCCGGAAACCCCTCCGATGCCTAAGTCAGCAACTAGACAATTGACAGTAAGCTTTGTGTATTCTAGAGTAAGAATTGGGATACCTGTACATAGGTCTGGTCATGAGCTTTTATAGACTTTACTTGGCACAATTCTAGTAGGATTCCAACTCTCCTTATAAGAGTCTTTCTAGGAATCACACACCCTACTCACTACCAACCAAGTGAGATGGTTTGCACAATCCTAGTAGGACTTTACTCTCCTTAGCAGAGTCCTCATAGGAGTCACACTCTTACTCACTACCAACCAAGTGAAACGGTTTTGCATAATCCTAGTAGGACTCTACTCTCCTTAGCAGAGTCCTCCTAGGAGTCTCAAGCCCAAGGATAATGATTATCCCTAAAACACCCTTATCACTACAAGCCAAGTGAGATGACTGAACCTTTACCTCGGCTGACATTGCGGTCAACCGTGCTCACACAACATTTCACAAACCCTAACATTTTCACAACATTTGTAAATTAGATGTAAATTACGTACATCTGATGTACGTAATTTACGTAATTCCAAACCCTAACATTTTCACAACACTGATAAAATCCTAACACATTACAACCCTAACACATTTAATAATTGACATTTAAAACCCTAACATTCATATTTTCAACCACACATTCACATTTTCACAAACACAATAAATAAATATATAAAATTCAGAAAAAAAGACAGAGCTAGATGCCATACCACAGAGAGAGAGAGAGAGCAGCGACGGAGAGTGAGAGCAGAGAACAGAGTGAGAGCAGAGAACAGAGGGAGAGCGAGAGCGACAGTGAGAGTTGAGCAGAGGGAGATCGAGAGCGAGAGAGTGTGAGAGCAGAGGGAGATCGAGTATGAGAGCAAAATCAGTGAATCCAAAGTGTAAAAAACGTGATTGGCTTGGATGTCTTATATAAGTGTTGAGCAACATTGAAAGCGTCATTCCAAATAGCGTCTTATTAAGTGCACAGTGAAACTGCTATTCCAAATAGCGTTTTCTTCAGAAAAGGAATGGACAGCGAAAGCGCTATTTCAAATAGCGTTTTCTTCATGAACAGTGTAAGCGCGATTTGAAATAGCGTTTTCTTCAGAAATTTTTTTACCTTAAAAGCGTGATTTGCAACCACGCTTTCTTAATTAAAAGCTTGGTTTTCAATAGCGCTTTCACTATTCATCACATTTTTGGCTCCAAACAGTGAAAGCGCGATTTGTAATAGCGCTTTAGCGTCCAAACTAGGCCTAGTTTGGGAATTCCGTCCAAACTAGGCCTAGTTTGGAAATTAAGATACAAAATAGGCTTAATATGGGAAAAGCCTCTGTTCTACGCACACAGAGCAGATAAACGAGAGAGAGAGAGAGAGAGAGAGAGAGAGAGAGAGTAGTGACATGGCTGTAGAGTCAAAACGCCTTGGGTGCGTGATCGTGTCCGTGGATGGCAGCGAAGAGAGCATGAACGCCCTCCGATGGGCTCTTGACAATTTGAAGCTCCGTTCTCCTTCTCCTGACTCCTCCGGCGGCCACCTAGTCATATTCCACATTCAATCTCCGCCCTCCATCACCGCCGGCCTCAATCCCGGTGCCATCCCCTTTGGGGGTCCCAGTTAAGTTAACTCTCTTTCTGCACTCTATTCTATTCTCTTCTCTTCTATTTAGTTTCTCTTTCAAATTCTTTCTATTATCATCAAATCAAGATCCTCTCTTCTTCCTTGTGTTTTTTGATTGATGATTTTACTGACAAATTACATTTCTTGATTGAATTGAAACCGAAAAAATATAGGTGATTTGGAGGTGCCTGCTTTCACTGCTGCAATTGAGGCTCATCAGAGAAAAATTTCAGATGCGATTATGAAACATGCTTTGCAGATTTGCTCCGATAAGAACGTTAGGGCTTTCTCTTTCTCTCTCTCTCTCTCTCTCTCTATATATATATATATATATATGCATGTGCAATTCAAAAGAAGGTAATAGTATAAGAATAATGATAAACCTTCTCCTCTTCATTTTTATATAAATATTTGTCAATATATATTAGAATAGATATATACACACTAGCGGTCCTGTGTGCAATTCAAAAAAATGTAGTAGTAGAGGAATAATGACAAAGAGAAATGCACACATGTATTTGTTGCTCCTGTAGTAAGGATCTTCTTTGCCAAATCCATGATCTTGGTTTTAAGTCAAAATTATATAAACACCAACTGTATATACTAGAACGGTAAATAAACTAATTTGTGCAATTGAAAAGATCATGTGTGTGATATGAAATTTACAATCAAGGCAGTTGAGAGATTATTTATTTATTTATTTTTAAACTAAAGAAAATTGAATCTATGACGTAACTCGCTCTTACTTTTATGTTACTGCTCTAGTGGGCGTATTCGGAAGTTAAAATATATGTATCTTTTTTTTGATAACTGGGTGTTTGGATCACCTTACACTCAACTGGACTAATCTTAGGGAATCAATCCCACCGTTTACTTGCGGGGACTCCATTTAAAGTCAGAGCAAACACCCCAAGAACTTATTGAGGTTGGTGAGTATTGAATTTGAGACCTGAAGGGAGCACACCCTTAGGCCTGAAGTTGTGTCCACTAGGCTAACCCCTTGAAATTCATATATCTACACCAAGTAGGTGTAGATAATATAGACTAGTGGTGGATGCAAATGTATAAATTTAAACTTTTGGGCAATTTAACTTATGAGGATTGAATTAAAAAATTGTTTGAAAAGCTTACAATCAATTCGGTGAAGCTTCGTGACATATTTCTTTATTTTTGAAAATGCCCAGAGAACAGTTACGCCATACAAAAGTTCTTCAATTTTTTTTCTTCCGTTCTAATGTTGTGTCTGTTTCATGGATTTGGGTAGGGTTTTGAAAAGAGAAAGGGAAAAAAGCAGGTGAAATGTGAGTGAAATATAACTACATTTAACCTACATTTCACACACTTTTCCCTTTTCAAATCCCTACCTAAATCCATGAACCGAACACAGCCTAAAAGATCTCTGAGCTACTTGGGCTATCGATTTCATAACACACATTGTGTGTGCACAACCACCGGTATATATATATATATGTATGGTTTCTTTGTATACATTTGATGAATGACTTTGATGTGGTCCATTGCTAAGTTATATTGTCAATCTGGCTCCTTTACATTGAGATGAATCCAGTGAATTCGGCTGTCTTCGCCACTGCTGACATGTCAAAATTAGAGTATGGAATTCAATGGACTTTGTACACCTACCTCACTGCAAAGGAGCTAAATTGTTGCTTAGGCCTCGTTTGGGAACATGCTATTTTAGTACCTTTTTAGCTTTTTATAAAAAGATATGCAAAAAAGTAGAGAGAGTGATGTGACAACTTATAATGACTTTTTGGCTAAAATATGTAATTGACAAATGAGACCTTAATGTCATCATCATGCAAAACATTGTCATGGACTCATTTGAGATTTTGGTTTCTCTACTTGTTTTGTAGGTAAAAAATGCCAAAACCCATATAGTTGTTGGGGATCCAAAGGAGAAGGTATGTGAAGCTGTTGAGGAATTCCATGCTGATCTGCTTGTCATGGGTTCTCGATCTTTTGGTCCCATTAAAAGGTATGAATCATACTTTGAAAGGTCAATTATTTTAGTTTAGGTGCATGTGTGGTCATCTTGAAAGGATATGACTATTCCATTTTATTTTAGATAACATTTTTTGAAATGAATGAACCCACTGAAGAAAATTGGAAAAAAGACTACAATTGATGGTATTAGGATTTAGTTTTCATTAAATAAGGTTCTTCCAAATTTTTATACATTTCATGTTGCATAAATTAGATTAAGAAATAGTAAGAACTTTATGTTTTATAGTGATTGAAAAATTGAACCCTTAGGTTGTTATGATTACGTGGAGTTGACAAAGTTGGCTAATACGAAGGAGAGCATTTCCACTAAAGTGATTGACAACAGTATATTTAATGGAATGATTGACCTATGATGGTTCCAATTGAGGATAAAATGAGGGAAAATAGTTTCAGATGGTATCTCCATCTGCAATGTAGGCTAGCTAACGCGTGCCACATGGTAAGATGATAATGCCGGTGGTATACAATCTTGGGTAAAACTCAATCCCAAAACTTTCTGCCTCCACGCTTATATATTGCACATTACTTTTATACCTAGGAAATGTGGGACTTCTTTCAACACCCTTCCTCTCGTGCAACATGCTCACTTGGTAGCACCTATTGTGTGCAGGCTAGGGACACAACCCTATCTATCCGTGGGTAGTCCAACTCGAATGCCATGTTACTTAGTTTTGCATAGAACTCAACCCCAAAAGGTAGTTGTTAAGGTGAAGGGCACTTTCACGCTGATATACTTTACATTACTTTTGTACTTAGGTGATGTGGGACTTCGCTTCACAAATGCCACATAGGATGCTTGGATTTTTTTCATCTACAACCATTTCTTCTTCAATTACTAGAATTGCCTCTCTACTTCTGGTAGCATGACATGATCTATGCTATTTTCTACCCCTTTCTTTCTTCTTTTTTTTTCCCTCGTTTCCTTCCTTTCTCATTGTTTTCTAATGTTGTGAGATTTTTTTTTTTCCTTTTTTGGAATGTGAAGAGTTTCCAATTATATATGTGCTTCATTATTTTAGCCGATCACACCAGCAGAGGTGAGCTGAAATAAGAGGCAGATTCAAGATTTGTGTATAGAGGGGGCAAAATTTATATATACTCAAGCAAATTTTTTTTCCTGATTGACGATCGAAGTTAAAAATGAAGTTTACTAACATATTGATAAAATTTAAATTTTTTTAAGAAATTACCTCGAAATTTTTTTCATATTTTTAAAAGGAAAAATAAATTTTCATTGGATGAATTTCATCATTTTTTTTTTCTAACCTTCTATGTGGATCTACACAACAAATGCCTTGGGTAGACGTAGGTCCTACGGTCCTAAGGGTCAACTTAGTTCCCAATGCCTCTTGAAGGCTTTGCCACAACTGGGCACTACAACAAAAGTCACTATTTACGGCATCATGTTTACGACATGCGTTAAATGCATGTCGTGATTAGTACATTCTACGACATTTTTTTTTGCAAGCCGTTAATGTTTTGCTAATAACACCATACATACTATGTAAGTCGTTAATTCATATATTTATGGCATATAAAAGTATGCCGTAAAAAATATATGTTTTCACGACTTACAAAAATATGTCGTAAAATATTTGCACTTAAGACGACATATATTTCATGTTGTAAAATATTACAACTTTACATGGCATGCATTAACATGTCGTGAAAACTTCTGCCAAAAAAAAAATGCAATCCGAAAACCAGCGACCACCACCAGCCACCAGCACTAGCACCAACCAGCACCGCCAGCAACCACCACCAGCCACTGCCCCTCCGATGATGTTAGTTACATGAGCACCAATCGATTGATTCCGAGCTTGACATTTGATTCTAATTTCGAGCCTTAGATTAATTTGGTGAGAGCCTTGGATTAATTCGGTGAGAGCCTTGGATTGCATCCTTTATTCAATTAATTCAGTTTCTCCTCTCTTATCTCTCTTTGATATTGATTTGACTTCTAGAGTTTTGATTTTGATTTCTAGGGTTTTGATTTTGATTTGACTTCTATTCACTTAACCTAAATTTTTCTCCCTTGCAGTTTCATTTCAACTTTATGATCTCAAGCAGCAAGGATTTATAGGGAGACAGGAGCTTATGAACAAAAGGCGACCTCCGCTTTCTGAAGCAACACTGTAAGATCTCTGTTTATTTGTACATCTTCCCAAAAATGGCGACCTCAGGCTCTGCACATCTGTATCATTGGATTAAAAATTTTAAAAGTCAGTAAGACAAACTAATTTAAAATTTTCAAAAACAGTTTTCTTTTTAGTCATCACATATAACTCGTTTCCAAAATCTAAGAGTTCAACTTAAATTATTTTCCATTTGTTGTTAATAAGAAAACATCATTTATTAGATCAAAGAAGAGGTCAATACAAGAAGTTAAAATCTGTATGAGAAGCCTGTAAGACATATAAAAAGGCTGAAATAAGCATACCCATCCTCAAAAGTCAGCCCTCTAAGTCAGATCGGTCATCTATATTATAGAACATAGATAGCAACTCCGTTCTTAACCAAATACCCACTCTCAAGGCACAGAGGAGAAAAAGCAAGCTTCCGTGTTCGTCAATGGGTACGATTACTTTTACGACTACTTTTTTGAAGTACCCATGTTTCATAGATTCTTAGCCAGATTGTATTTTTGAAAATGGGCTTTCATTAAATGGTAAGATTAACCTTTAATTCCCCATCTAAAGATGAACGAAATTACCTCCAATCTGGAAAACCTCTGGTAGATACATAGTCCGAGTGGAAAAATAATTCCATTCTTGATTAAGCAAATCTTGTACCACTGATGCATTCATTGTGAGTTGTCAGATTATAGCTTTATTGATGCCATGAATCTCATTATCCTGTCGAACTAGAATCTTTTGAGCATCACAAACTTGTAACCATAGTCCTTTTCTGCAACTATTTCCCCTTCCCCCTCGTAGCACCGCCACCACACGGATATGCTTCTACTACACAAAGACATAGCCAACAAAAGACGTTTGACCTTGTGAATATAAGCCTCTTAAGCACCTTTTCAATGATTAGTTATATTCTACCCAAGGTTATTTATCAAAAAAAAAAATAGTTATATTCTACCCAAGGTGTTCATACCATTTGGTATTAGAGTCAACCACCATGTCGAATATGGGATCAGATGCACTTATACGAGTATGAGATTGGATGGGTGCGGCTTTGCTGGTTGAGCCATGTAGGAGGCGACTTCTAGGCTGGATTAAGATATCTATTTTGAGTTGTTGAAAGCTAATAGGTGAGTGATGTAACACCCCACCAAACATCATTTACATAACTAGTAACATGAATATTTTCTACACATATACACAACACAGTTCTATACAAATGTTCTCTTTCTCATTGAACCGCAGATTTTTGTTTACAAAACAATTACAATAATACATAATCCTGTTTAGTGAGTTAGAGAAATTACAAAACAATTACATAATTCTTCTAATTTACTAACCACATTGAGACATTAATCCAAAATCAAATGAGTTCATAATAAAATAAAAGTTTTCATAATTTAGATACAATGTCAAGTTCACAAAAGATTAGACTTCTTCAACAAAACAAAAGAAATGCCTTTATCTTCTTCTTATTCTTGAACGAGTTTGGGGCTCTTCATTTCCTGAAATGTTAGTGAAAATAGGAATGAGCAATTTTACCCAGTAGAGAATAGCTTTAACCAAATATATAAATATTTGAGATAAATATGCATGCCCTATATTAAGTCCAAGAGTTCATTTGTATTTTGTTTAAGCTTTACAAAATGAACTTTATTTTATAAAACTCTCTTTTCGATCAACCTTCACACTTTTTCCGTCCTCACACGAATGGCATGTGGACGCCTCACACCCTTCCACTTTTGTTGTCCCCACACGACCCAACTAGTGGACGCCTCACAACATCCCCACATTTGCCGCCCTTACGCAGACCGGGTTAGTGGGCACCTCAATCACATCCCCACATTCGTCCTCCTCACGTGAACCGGGCAAGTTGGCACCTCAAACACATTCCGTAACATGTACATTCTCATGCAACACTAACAATCACAAGGATTCTCCAATTCTACTTATCAATTATCTACTACATCAAATTCATGAACAATCCCCTTAGGGTTTATATGAAAATTTGGAATTTTTCTATATTAATGTTTGTTTTCCTTGATTCAATTATTTTTATTCATCACATGATTCACACTTATTCAGATCAAAATATAAATATATGAGGCTAAAGATATTCCTACCTCAAAGGTTGTGGAAGAAGGAATGAAGATCCAAAGATGAATCTCTACGGTACTAAGATCCAATCAGCCCAAAATGTAGCTCTTGATGAGATGAACAACTTTGATGAAGAAACAATGATGGATTCTTGCTAAAAATAGATGAGATCTAGTGTTTAGGAGTTAGGGTTTTTGAAAATAGGGTTTAGAGAGAAAAGGCGAGTGAAAAAGTGAAGTCAAAAAGTGTTTAGATCAAAATTTAAGACTGTTGTCCCGAACAGACTGTTCGAGCAAACTTTCCTTTGCTCGAGCGAAGTACCAAAATACAAAGAGACCGCTCGAGTGAACTTTCCATCGCTCGAGCGGTAAACGTAAGGTCTCAAAAGTTTTGTAGAGCTACAGTGAAAATACTGGGTGCTCATATTATACGCTCGAGTGACAAGTACTTCGCTCGAGCAGTCTTGCCTGCAAACTTGTGAGATACTGGGAGTTACAAATCTCTGCTCGAGCGACCAAATGACCACTCGAGTGGTCACCCAAAAACAGCTGTTACAACCTACCCTCAAAGAATTTCATTCCCGAAATTTGCACCGTTCCTGCCAAAACAATTCTAACAATTCCCCGGAAGATGGATATCACCAAAACAATAATCTCAACCATCACTACGTCTTAAGTCAAGGAAAAATCAAGGCTAATTTCTAACACATACATAGAAATTTAGAGTTCTTTCATTCACATCC